ATACCAGTTTCATTCACTTTCGTCACCAACCTCGGCAACCATCGTCCCCCTACCGACCCCTAACGGGCCACGCACACACACGCTGATCATTCTCTCCCACTGCTCCTCTTTGCCCCCTACCTACGACATACTCTAGGAGTCCCCACTCACGCCGTCTTTCCCCTGCCGCCACGGACTCTACTTACACTGCCTACACCCCAAGGCTCCAGCAATCCCACTCCACTCCCTCATGTACCTCACTCCCGCCGCGGATCCTTCCCTCCCCCGGCTTTCACTCACTTCACCTCCCTACCTCTCTCTCGGACTTCGTCCTCATAGCCACTACATCTTTCTCTCTCCTCCCGCGTCGCTCACACAATCCAGCTCCCTCTCACACCACTCACTAACATCGCACATCTTTCTCTCTCTCGGCCTCCACTCACTCCACACCCCTACTTCTCTCTCGGCCTCCACTCACACCGCCAACCCTTCTCTCTCTCCCGGCCTCCACTCACTCCACATCCTTACCTCACTCTCGGACTCCACTCACACCGCCAACCTCTCTCTCTCTCTCGGCCTCCACTCACTCCCCACCCTTACCTCTCTCTCGGATTCCACTCGCACTGCCAACCTCTCTCTCTCCTGGCCTCCACTCACTCCACACTCCTCCATCTCTCTCGGACCTCCCCCGCACCGTCACCTTCTTTCTCTCTCCTCCCGCGGTTCTCACGCGGCCAACTTCCTTCCACACGCCTTATCGCCCACACTTACCCTACACCGCCTCCTCCGTACACTGCCACCTCCGTAAGTATTCACAAACACACACCACACCTTCAAATTTCTCATCCACATTTCAAATCTCAAATCAACACACGTATTTGAAATATATTACCGTACCTCCCATTTCCATCTTCCTTCTTCCTTCTTCCTGTCGATCGCGCTATCACCTTCCGCGGTCTCCTCTTCTCTTCGCTCCACTTCCCTTCTCTCTCCTTCTGGAACCTTCCTTCCTCTCCTCTTTCTCTTTCCTGCCCCCTTCTTCCTCTGTTCTTTGTCCTTTTTTTTCTTTTTCTTTCCTTTTTTTTTCCTTCCTTCCCCGCCCCCTATTTATATCCCACCAGTTTCCTCAAAACGGCGTCGTATTCCCCCTTGCATAACGATGTCGTTTTTTCTTTTTCAAAAGGACGTCGTTTTCTCCCATCTGCAAAACGACGTTGTTTTCTCCTCTTTAAAACGGCATCGTTTCCCTCCCCTTTTCCTCTTTTTTTTTTTTTTTTCAATTATTACAGACCAACACATGACTAATCCTGCTATGCGCGTCTAAGTCCTGTCCAGGTTCTGTCCTGCTCAATCGCTCTAGGTGGTGCTTCTGTCCAAGACACAACTGCTTTGTTTACTGGTAACATTTTTCCCGTGACCTTTTAGCCTTAATTGTCGTACAACTCTTAAATATGTTGGAGATTACATCCAAAGTACATGAATAAATTCTCACATGGGAAACCTTACCCAATACAACACCGAATTTCAGCCAATCTAGGCTGCTTATTGCTTTACTAGGAAGGACCCTTGAGTTGGTTGCAATTGATTTGGATCTCTCTCAAGAGAAAAGAAAAGCTTAGCCGCTGGACCAAAATCAAGGGATCCCATCTTTGACGCATGGGATGAGGAAGCGCGCTTCAGGACTCTATGTAGCAAGAGATAAGTAAAACAGTTTTGTTATTGTCTACCACCAAAGGAGGAGGGGATGCAATTAGGGAAATCAATTCTAAAATCAAAGATGCAGTTCAAATTTATGACTTGAATGTTAAGATATAGTGCATAAAGTAAGAAAGCAGGTTAGTCATTAAATGTTCTAACATGTTGAAAGGTTGGTGACAATAATTGGGTCTGTATTGGGGTCTCACAATAGGCTGCAGTAAGAATGCAGCCTGCCTAAAATAGTTTGTGGATAAATATCGGGCTTATAAGTTTTTGGCAAGTCTCAAACAGGAGTTTGATCAAGTACGGATTCAAATCTTAAGTAAAGACGAAATATCATTACGAAATGAGGCAATTACTATTGTATTAGCAGAAGAGAGTAGGAGAGATCATATTAGAATTTAGGTCAACCACCAGCTCAACACTAATCTCCAAAGGCCCCAACCCATGCCAACAGATAAAGGAGCTAAGCCAAGCAGGAAATTTCAAGCTCATTGTCAATAATAGGAATAATATTTGGTGTACTTTTTGCAAAATGTCAGCCACCAAAACTAAATGTTTGGAACTCCATGACAAACTCAATACCTCAAGCAAGGATTGTTGTTACAGAGCACTCTACAAAAGTCTCATAGATAGCCTATATGGCCCATCAGAAGGGGGAAGACCAAATTAGTGATCTCAGGGAATTTAAGGCTGAGATAAAATGATTGTAAAGCAGATTAGAAGATCTTTAGAAATCCACAGGTACAGGTTAGATGAAACACTCAGACATATCTTTTTTCTTGCATGGTTTTAATGTATTATATCGACCGTTTAGAAACTCATAGATAGTAGATTCAGGGCCACTGATAATGTGACAAATACTTTTAAATACTTTTATATGTATGTGTCATGCCCCAGTAGTAGGACAATAATCACGATGGATGATTCTCTAGGCACATTGCTAGGAAGGACCACATCAAGCTGAGTCCTACCTGTTCTTAAAAATGTGTTGCATGTTCTTAAACTATGTACAAATCTTGTGTTAGCCATCAAATTATCACAAAATTTGAATTGCAAGGTAACATTCTTTTTTTCTCTTTCTAACTTCATTAGAACTCGGGTAAATGATTGGACGTACTGAGATTAGAAACAGATTATATTACTTTGATACATATGGTGAACTCTTTTTGCTATTTCCACCAACCCTAACCACACAAGTTCTGGCTCTACCATAAATTTCTTGGCCATCCATTCTTTTTCATTTCAAATGTTATGTTTTCTCTGTTATTTAAAAATTTTGATATGGGAATTCACGTAGCGATTTATGTGAGTTAGCCAAACATAAGCATGTGCAATTTTCTAACAACAATAAAAGAAGTATGATTCCATTTTCTTTAATCCATAGTGATATTTGGAAGTTATCTCATATTCTCAATATTTCTTGGGCTCGATTGTTTGTGTAGTTTATTGGTGATTGCACTAATATTACATAGATTTTTGTACTCAAAATCCAAATCAGATGGTAGCCACATAATGCCCCATTTTTGCAAAATGGTAAAAACCCAATTTAGAATTCATATAAAATGATTTCACACTTATAATGTAAAATACTTTTCTAATCACACAATCTCCTCATTTTTCCACTAAAAGGAGATTATCCATGAATGGTCATACTTCTACACTCCACAATAGAACAAAGTGGCGGAACGTCAGAATTGTTACCTTCTTGTTGACCGATAGAGTTTTTATATTTTAAAATCATATCCCAAAACAATATTAAGGTGAAACGTTCTTACTGCTACATATGTTCTCAAGAACTATACTTACTGCCACATGAACACGGTGTGGATCTTGCTATCTTTAGCTACTTATTTTGATTAGCAACTATAACAGAGGGTAGGACCGTATAAAGTTTGTGAATTGAAGAAGACATTTTATGTATTTAAACAATCGCCTAGAACATAGTTTTGTAGATTTTCAAGGGCAATGACAGGCTTGGGAGACAAGCAACTCAAGGAGACCGCACTTTATTTATCAAGAATTTTGAGATAAGGGGATTTATCGCGCTCTTAGTAACTGTTAATGATATTATTATAACAAAGGAATGATGAAAAAGGTAAATTGACGTTTAAGTGATGTTTAATTAGAGAATTCAAAATCAAGAAATTAGGTAATTGAAAGTACTTTCTGAGAGTTGAAGTCGCCCGCTTAAAATAAGGATCTTTATCTCCCAGAAATACTTTCATGACTTATTAAGAGGTATAAACAAACTAGCATGTAAGTCAGTTAGTACTCCTAAAGATTTCAATCATAAACTAGGACAGATAGAAGATGATAAGTTAGGAGATAAGAAAATGTGTTAGAGATTAGTTGGGAGACTGATATACTTGTTACATACAAGATCTGATATCACCTACGCCATTAAGTATTTTATTTTTGAAATAACCTACGGAATTAAGTGTCATAAGTCAGTTCATGCACAACCATAAAGAAGTATACTTACAGACAACCTATAGAGTGTTGCATTACCTAAAATGGTCATATGAGAGATGATAATATTTAGAAAGAATGACAAATTACTCATAGAAGTCTATACGGATGTAGACTACATAGAATCAATGGTGGATAGAAGACCTATTACGAGTTATTGTATCTTCTTTAGGAGTAACGTGGATATGTGGAGGAGTAAGAAGCAAAATGTAGTTGTAAGGTTGATTGCAAAATTAGAATTTCAAGCAATAGCTCAAAGAGTATGTGAATTACTATAGTTAAAGAGAATTTTAGAAGATCTAAAAATCGCATGAGAACAACTTCATGTACGTATACTGTGAAAATAAATTGGCCGTAAGCATTGCCCATAACCGGGTGCAACATGATGGAGCCAAATATATTGAAGTTGGCAAACATTTCATCAAAGAAAAAATAGACGGCGAATGTACCTGTATATGCCGACTAGCTCTTAGCTTGCAAATGTGTTGATTAAAAGTCAAACAATCTAACATGCGCACTATTATTAGCAAGCTGAGGATGAACAATATTTATCTATCAATTTGAGGGGGAGTGTTAAAGAGAGTTTGTCATTAGGTTAAAGAGCATTAGAGTAAAACATACCATATATAATTAATATAATTAATGGTTTATTTTTTCTATTTTAAAAAACTTGGATATATAGGGTTTAATATTCAATAAAATACACATTTAACTATCTTCACACTTTTTGCAATTGTTTTTTCATGTTTTAAAAGAATGTGAAGTGGTAGTAAACATTTGGTGAACTGTTACTTGCCTTTAGTTTCTAGCAGTCTTATAGTTGCATCTCATTATAGCTAAGGAATCTTTTTCCTTGCAGGTGGGAATTGACACGCCAGAACATATTACTGGCCTGATTATCTTAATTTTTGGCCTCATCTCGTCTGTTACAAGTAATTGCTACAAATTTACTAAGACATGATTAAAGTGGCATTGATGACAGCTTTGCTGTAGTGGTTTTATCACCTTGTTTTGTTGCTTTTAGCTCATGCTACAAAAAGCTTCAAAAAGGTGAAGAGAAACGGGAAATGAATGGTGTAAGATGGAAATCAGCTCGAGTACTATGGTGATATCACTGACCTTTTGACATTAATACCCCATTTCAGAAATGTAGATGAAGCCGTTGTAACCATCAGTCTGTTGCGATCGGTTGCTGAACTTGCTGTGAGGTTTTGAAAGCTTACATGCAGACTGCGTGAATCCTGTACTTTCATTTTGTAAATACTGAATTTGACTGGAGTAGACAATTGTGTACAGGAATTTGTATGAAAAATGTAAGTTTCAGCTGTAAATTGTTTCTTCAAAAAAATGGGGATGAGCAAGGAGGTTTGATTCTGATTCCCGGAGAATGATTCTCGGAGATTCAGCATCAAACAAGGAATGAGGAGTTGGCACCATGTAAGCTCCATGCAAATAACATGATGCTGGAAATGCAGAAATGTACATATCTGTCTTTTGAATTTCTTTTTATTTTTTAATATTTTGGTTCTTTTTCCTGGTAGGTATGCCTTTCTTTTTTCCTCCTAAAATTTAAGTCATTGTTGGAGGGAGAGAAATGGTTTAAATAAGCAGTTCGGAAGGCCGTCTGCTGCAGCTGCTGCGGTAGTGGATACTGAAGCCAAGCAGTATAGATCATTAAACACTCATCCTTATTGCATTTCCTGGATGAAGTCAGTCATGAAAAACTTACCCTGCCAGCTGAAAATTTGTCATGTTTACTGCGCCTGCAACTTTCCAGGGTGTAGATAATATATATGTCTTAAGATATTTTGAACCAAACTTATTTAGAATATTTCAAGATTTTGAGTATTTATTTTTAATTGTCATGTATTAAAGAAAAAAATATTTAGTTGTCAAAACAGCTTCTTTTGAAACAAAAACGTCTGTGATTTTAAAAGTATATTATTTTCAATTCTATGACAAGAAAACTGTAATTACGATACTCAAATAAATGGAAACAATGATTTAATTTGTTTACATCCTATGTCATCTACCTTGATGATTACATGTATACACACACACACACACACATTTTAAAAATTATCTGCACAGATTACGTTGAAATATAATTTCAAACTAGAAAAATCACAAACTTTTCTTACTGTAATACAAAAATAAAATTTCAGTGTGTTGTCTAAAGTGTCAGCTCTTTCTTTTTTACCCCCCCCTGCATTTTCATAAAGAAGGTTAAGTATCATGTAGAGAAACAATCTGATTCTAAGAAAGAAGAAACGCATGAAAGACCTTACAAACTTGTAGAATATACCAAATTTCTACTCGATGTATCAAGAACAGGTAAATAAAGATGCTGTATTCTGGTTACATCAATAAAATTAAAGGCTTGAGCCTGTTCTATAAGCGAAAGCATAAACATCTGACTATAAACTTCTAACTTGCATAAAACCTCTAGATTTTACTATAAACTGAGTTTCTGTAATATACACATACTATGAGAATGTATCCAAGACAACTCCTTGCATCAGCAATCAGTTCTGTTCCACCTCATTTAAGTATCAGCAGCACTAAATTTTTAGAGAGATGCAGTGGTACCATTTCTCTCAAGTTGCCGTTGCCTGTCTCGCTCCATCTTCCTTCTTCGCCACTCTTCTACAGCTGAAGAAGTGGATGAAGCAACTTTTCTTAAAATGAAAATAACCCAACAAGAATTACAAGAAAACCACAAGCTCAACAAATAACCCAACAAGGATTACAAGAAGACAGAAAGTTCAACAAACAAATTATTTAATTAAATTTTTTCTTGCCATCTTCTCCAATTTAAAAATTTTCCACGGATATATTCTTGAAATGGGTGCTAAATATCAGTAACTGGAGACAGATGAAGAAGCAAGAAGCAAACAACCTCATGATGAGAACTTAGAGATGCTTCCGGGGTTTAAAAGTAACAATAAGAGGAAGGGGTAAATGATTGCTATTAATTTAACTATTAACAATCTGCACAGCAACAAGAACTCCTTATGTCAAAGATGGTTTTTCCCCATACATCATTACTAAAGAATTTGCTAAAAATTTAATATGATTCCTAAGGTAAAAACAGAAACCAAAACAAGTGAGAGCCAAAAAATCCATGAAAATCTATTAAGAAACTTAAGAAAAAGAAAAAATTCAAAGAAATATTCCAAAAGAGGGTTCACGGCCCTGCTCCACAGTATAGAGATATCTAACATATAACACTGATAAACATAAGAAATCTTCGCTTCTCACAAAAAATAGGAAATATTTTGCAGTCAGAGCATGAAATCATTTACATAGCCGGAGGTAGCATTTAATAAACAAGCCTTGATTCATAATGAGGCCAAAAAGGACTCTCTGTCCAAAGGAAGTGGAAGTGACATAATTATATAGGATGCTTATTAAGCTCAAATATTTGAGATAAAATTGATACAAGAATCCTTGAAGCTATGATGCAGATAGTAACAGATGTGTTAAGCCCATAAGCAGGACTGGAATCACAAACGCTAAAAAAAGCCAACATTTAATATAAGCTTATTATACCAAAAAGCATCACTAGCAACAATATTTAAGGAAAGTAAAAGTCTTATTCAGTTACCTTTCAAACTGGCAGCATCATTAAGGGAGCGGAAATCCTTCAGCCTTTTAGAAAGATCAATTGCTGCAGTTTGTTTTGCTTCATTCTGCTGGTCTGTTTCTTGTTCCACATATTTCTCTTGCTGGATTTCCCTCACCTGAAAAGGGGCAAAGATTCAACTACAGAGCAAATACATGGAGTATCATGAACTTCCAGGATTCCATCACTTTTATCAGTTGATGGAAAATAATTGTGCATGAGATGACCTTATCATCAATGAGATTAGGTGTATCAAACTCCTGTTCAAACACAATTCATCAAACTCTAACTCCTAATCTCCAAACAACAAGGAAGGATACATTGAGTTTTAGACAGATCACCATTCTGATTATTAATTAAAAATTTCTGATACATCTGGAATGCATAGATAAAGTATGCTAATAGAACAGTGTGATGTCTGCTTTGTCTTTTTTAAATGTATAAGACAGTGTGCTCACTCTTTTTATGAGTTCCAAAGGTTGCATAGCAAGGCGAATTTCTTCACACTCTCTGATATACTTGAGCTGAACTGCATTTTATATTGTGAATGGATTCTAGTTAAACCAGCAAGTTGAGAGCCCATACAGGGGTGTTTGAAACACAGCAAAAGGGTAAAGAAAGAAAATGAAAATACAATAAATGAAAAAAAAAAACAATTGATTCTTTTGTCATAATAGGAGGTTAGGATTTGGACGAGAATGAAAGCAATACAGGAAAGACTAACAAACTAAACATACAGCTTACTTTTCGCTTACATCCATGGACAAACAACAATAAGTTATTTTCCGAACAGAGGGAAATCCAAAGAACTAAGAATAGGATTCAAGATATCCCAAAAGGTCAGGATTTTTATATAACTGTTATAGATTTATTTCCTGAAGAAAAGGAAGGAAAATAATTGCACAAAATACTAGATGTTTAAGCTTGAGATCATAATATTGTAAAAGATGTCTTCTCAATCATTATAGAGCACTGCCTTCAAAGATGACCTTTAATTTCCTATTTAGCTCACTTACCATCTACAACATTGTGAACTATTAACAATGAGAAACAAACAGTCTCAGCTTCTGGGTGCTTGTGGTTTTAGACTTTCAATGCTAAATGATGAATCTAAGAACTCTAAACAGGAATATGTTCGGAACAAATGAACTCAATTGCAAATCCACACTAATAATAAAAATGTGGATCTGCAAACAAATTCCACATAAAACGTGGAGATCCTTTGTTCCAAACATAGTGAAAAATAGTAAAGGTATCTAAAGTTTAGTTTCATATTCATATAGCAGAAGAAACATTTGGGAGAAGCCTATATATGCCTGTAATTCTGTTCTAGTTTGGAGCTCAAATAATCCGAACATGGTAACCAAAACACTAAAAAAAGCCTCCAGTTTTGTCTAGGTAAGTGTCAATCCATATATATAGATACATATCACTCTAATCCAAACCTCAAAATAACTGAATTTACACATCAAAATCAACATTCCCCACACAAAATTCCCTACACTAAACAAACGAACATCTATTCCACCAAACAATAACCCTATGCAGAAACACATAAATTCTCCCAATTCATTAAACAGCAAAAGAGAGACCATCAAACACATAACATAGCAGTAATACTTAAAAACAAAAGATTTAGCAGATTCCCATGTGAAATAACAGCTAATTTTTTGCATATGGAGTAAGGTCTTGAAGACTGAAGAAAGTAAGGTAACGAGCCTGAAGTGGGTTGGTCAGAGGAGAGAGTGTTGCGAGAGGAGGCGGAAGAGAGAAAGCCCTGAAGAAAGAAAAGAAGAGCAAACACATTCAATATGCTCAAAAATATTGTAGCGTTCTTGAAAGATAATCTGAGTCTCCATGCTTGTTGTGCATCCATTCTTGAGGAAAATTGACTCAGTGAGTAGCGGAACAAGAAGAAGGAGAAAAAGGGTTTTATTGCATCGTCTTGGGGTTGGAGTCAAAGGCATAACTAGATCCAGACAGCCCCAATTTCGTAGACGCCAAGGTTGGTAAGTGGATCATGAAAATTTCTGTAAGGTAATAAATAGTCATTTTTGTCAAAATTTATATTATAACTTTCCCCAATTTATCTTTTGTATGCCAAGTATTTTAAGAAAATTCTTTCATATACAAAATTTAGTCTCATTACTAATAGAATTGATTAGCTGAAGAAGAGCTCAAGTGTATAGAGAGGACCTCCCCGTTTAAGAAGTAACTAAAGAAAAAATAAGACCTGCTTTTTATTCATCATTTCTGTTTACTTTTTTTTTTTTTTTTTTGGTTAGGAGATCTTTTTCATATTAAGTATCAATATAATTTCTTATTTCAAGGCAAAATGCTTAGAAGTAGAAAAGAAAAAAGATAAAATTGTGGGGGAGGAATGTTAGAGTAGTAAAAGTCATTCGAATACAATTCTTTCAGATAAAAAAAAATTACTTAGTATAAAAAAATTAATTGAGAACGGTATAATATAAACTTTATGAAGATGATTATTTATTACCTCATAGAATTTTAAAGAATCACATAATAATTTTGTGGCTATGAAGTTGAGGATTTGATTATGTATTGACTCCAACCCAAGATGATTTAATAAAACCCATTTCTCCTTCTTGTTTTGCTATTCACCAAGTCATTCTTCTTCAAGAATGGATGCACCAATGACATGGAGACTCGGATTATCTTTCAAGAACACTACAATATTTTTTAGCATATTCAATGTATTTGCTCCTCTTTTCTTTCTTCAAGCCTTTTTATTAGGGAACAAGTGAGAATATGTAGTTAATTTATAATGATTTTTCAGAAACCATAATCAAAGCCTTCGATAAATATTTTCGTCTTATTCTTTCAATAGTTGTAATGGTTTCCATTAAACAAGTGAGACCTATTAGAAGATTGATCTTCATTTAGTCGTGTTACCATGAGATGTTTTACTCTGTAAATTTAAATCATAAATAAAAGACATAAATCTAATATTATTTGTTGATATGAAATCTAAGACAACCCAAAAAGGAGGTAAATTTGCATTATAAATTTTGAAGATTTTAAGTACATTTCTCAAATCCTTTTCTCTCTTAACTTTCGGACTAGAATAGAAGAACTACTTTAAATATATTAACCTTCACTATTTAATTGTATATGAATATTTAGGAGTTAGTGAAGTACATTTCTGTTAATTAAGTACTCTCTAAAAATAAAAAAGATATATATAAATGAAAACAATTGAGAATACTGATAATTAATTTTATGTGTATGTGTGACATGTATAGTAATGTGATATTATATAATGATATATAATAAATTAAACTAAAGAGGATAATAAAGAGAGGCAAACTTTTTTATAGGAGTTTAGACACGACATTGTGCATATGTTTTCTTTCTCAAGCCAATCACTTTAGTTTTCACTATTTTCTTTAAAGTATTACAACAAGTTAATTGATTATAGTACCTAGCTCATCAATCATTCATATTCTCTCAACCACTGTTACTTGTTTACAAAGGTGTTAAGTTTATCTATTACTCATATTACATCAAATACTGTAGTTTGTCTATTAAAATATCAAATCATCTTTTAATGGTATTCCACTAAACATTATGATTTGTTTATTAAGGTACCAAACTCACATTTCTCTTATATTCTCCCGAAACAAAGTTTTCACAAACCTTTCTTACAAAGCCCCAAAAGAGTAAGAACAAAGAAATTACAGTTTTTCTCTTCAATAGTAGATATGCAAATGAACAACATATTTAGGAGCTCAATGAAGGCTCAAAAGAATGAAGAAGAGTTTTTCTTTTTAGATTACAAGTTTATATTTAATGTCCCTTTATTTTTTAAATATGTGAGAAATAATATTTATAGGTAGAACGTTAAAAAAGTAACTAGAGACAATTTGAAAACTGATTTGACCTCCAAAAAATGTGCTATGTAATTAATAGAAGCTAATAGTTATCAGGTTTATAATATTTGATTCAGTATAACTCTGTATTTAATTTATTAGTTTATTAATACAGTTGCGATAATTAAATTAAATTGGTATCAATAAGTCAACATATTTATGTACGAAAAAAGAAACATAATTTAGCTCTTAAAAAAAAAATTAAGAAGAGGTGTCCAACCTTGATATACATCTAAAGCTTGTTTAACAATTTTTTCCTTGATACATATATATATTCCTAAATTCTTCATATACAAAATTATTTTAGTTTATTTAATATGGTAGAATCTGCTAAAAACATTTAATTATGATAGCAAAATGCTAATTATAGATTCACTGATTCTAAACCTATCCCCTATCATTATCTCAAAAGTATATACATATGTATGTATGTGGTATCAACTTAGAAATAATTAGATTTTTGGATTTCTATACAATCAGAAAGAATCTGATTTTTGTCATAATTATTTCAATATATGAATCAACATTGTATCCAAATCAGAAGTAATCAGATTCTTCTTCGAGGCCTATATAATAAATCCCTCATCTTCAACTTCATAGTGCCATATAGAACTCACACTTCATTAACAAACACCAACTATGGAGAACGCCAAGGAGACAATAGCTAACATTGTGATGGTGCCCAGTCCAGGCATTGGCCACTTAATCCCACTTATAGAATTAGCCAAACTCCTCGTCTCCAACCACGGCTTACAAGTCACATTCATTTTACCCAGTGACGGATTGCCCATGAACTCCCAAAAACGCCTATTTGAATCCTTACCCACTTCCATTTCTGCCATCTTTCTCCCTCCTCTGTGCTTAAATGACTTGCCTGAGAATACCCAGATCGAGGCTCGGATCATGACGTGCTTGACTCGGTCTTTCAAAGCTTTAGGAGAGTCATTAGAAGTCCTTACTGAGTCAACCCGGGTAGTCGCGCTGGTTGTCGACCTTTTCGGCTCGGAAATAATAGGTATGGGTAAAGAATTTGGGGTCCCTTCGTATATATACTTTCCTTCAAATGCAATGGTCCTATCAACGGTTTTTTATTTACCAAAGCTTGACCAAAAGTATTCGTGTGAGTACAAAGAGATACCTGAACCAGTCATCTTCCCTGGGTGTACTGTTCCACTTCATGGTATAGATTTTCCAGACCCGTTTCATTGTAGAAAAAGTGCTGTTTACAAAGAATTTGTAAACTGGAGCGGACGCTACTTACTAGCAACGGGGATTATAGTCAATAGCTTCTTCGAGTTGGAGACGAAGACGTTTAAGGCATTGATAGAAGAAGAACCAGATGTTCCTCCCATTTATCCAGTTGGACCAATAGTACGCACCGGTTCGAGCAATGAGGTTGATGGGTCTGGGTGCTTGAAATGGTTAGGAGAACAACCGAGCGAATCGGTGCTTTTCGTGTGTTTCGGCAGTGGTGGCACGCTAACTCAAAAGCAACTCACTGAGTTAGCGTTAGGACTAGAAATGAGCGAGCAGAGATTCATCTGGGTCGTTCGGAATCCCAACGAAAAAGCTAAACACGGTAGCTATTTCATCGACGACGATGAAGATGGAGTAGATTTCCATTTCCTGCCTGATGGGTTCGTGGAGAGGACCAAAGGATCGGGTCTAGTGGTGTCATCGTGGGCTCCCCAGGTTGAAATACTGAGTCATGGCTCAACCGGTGGATTCTTGACACACTGCGGATGGAACTCGACACTGGAGAGCATTGTTAATGGCGTCCCGTTGATTGCATGGCCGTTGTACGCAGAGCAGAGGATGAATGCAGTGCTGCCGGCAGATGATTTGAAGGTAGCATTTCGAGTTAGAGAGAACGAAGAAGGTATAGTGGTGCGTGAGGATATTTCAAGATACGCGAGAGAAATAATGGAAGGAGAAGAAGGGAAAATGGTTAGGAGGAAGATGAGAGAATTCAAGGATTCAGCGCTAAAGGCTTTGAGCAAAGATGGATCATCCACCAAGTCTCTTGCCAAAGTTGTAGAGACCTGGAAGAAGCTGGAACAGTAGTATCCTTTTCTTTTAGTAAAAAGCAGACAGGAGGACTCAAAAGTTTTAAATTCAATAATTACATTTTCGCACTTAAGTTAGTACCTCTTACAAATTGAAAGTTTAATTTAAAATTTTATATTAAATGTAATAATTATTTAATATTATATTAAATTATTATAATGTTCACCATTCAAATTTTTTATGAAACTATATATCATAATCATACAATAACACTAGTTTGAAATCACCAAATTCACATACTTATATCATTAATCTGCAATATCATAAATTCAATTATTACACAGTTCAAGATCATATTAGTATGAAATTACTGAGTTGTATATGCTTTAATATTATCTTTAATGTCAACGATTAAAGCACCATTAGTTCCTCAAAATTTTGAACTTAGTTACAAATTTTTAAATATTTAAATTCAATTTATTGGTAATGTATAACTTAAATATTTATATGAAATTTAAAAATTAAATATGAGATTAGAGTATCTTAATTTATAATCATGATAAAAATTCAATCTAATTTAAAATTTATATACATATTATTAAAATAACTGTCGTAAAAAAACATATTATAATCTAATTTTTGAAATAAGCTTTTTAACATTTTAAATACATATATAAATTAATTTAAGTATAAAATTCAAAAACATAAATGAATCAAAATGTACATCTTAGATCTTACAAGATGGTTTTTTTTTTTTTTTCCTTTTAAGGTAAAAAGAGTTCGTTCAAAATTCTATTCTTTTTAAATTTATTTTTTAAAATATATAATTAAATAATTTCAAAAAATTTAAAAAATACATAACTTAATTTAAATTTTAAATTTTTTTAAATATATTAACAAAATTATCTAAATCTTAAAGCTTATTTGATTTTTACTCTAAAGTTATTTCTTTTAAGGGATTGTAATCTTCCATACATAAATTTATACTTGTTTATATATATATATGTTTGAGAACTCTTTTTTGATACGATTTAGTCTTATATCCATCAATTATCAAATTCATAGTGTATATATTGTGTAAGATAGCACTATATTATTTTGAATTATAATTTATTAATTTATTTTTTCTAACTTTTTTTTTCTGAAAAACCATTTAAATTAATATCCTAAACACATAACCAAATATTTTCAACAATTTAAAGTATAAAAAAATTATTTATAAAATAATCTTAAAAAACTTTAGATGTATAAATAAATAAATTAAAATTTTAGATCTTGATAAAATATTTAAACTATTTTAGAGATAAATTGTGATTATATTAGATGAAGGTCATATCAAATTTTTATATGAAAGAAGAGAAGTTTGGAACAAATTAGAGCTTAGTGTAATACCCGGTCCCGAAATTTGGT